ATTGCGTGTAACCGAATCTCCTCTATGTTCAACATTCAATGTTAAGTAAAACGAAATTCTTTCACCATTTACAACTGGCTTTTTTTTAAGGGGGGAAAATCATCGAAATGACTGTTCCCGCCTGGGTGAGGTGGGAGGGAGTGTCAGACTCTTACTGACTAAAAACCACCCCGTTCCAGAAGGAACAGGAGGCAGGAGAACCTGCTCGTCGAGCCGGAGCCCCGGTTACCCGTTAGATTCTCCGCGACAATTTACAACTAGCTAGACGTGACATTCTTATTAAAAACCATTTTTCAATTTATAATACTTATCCAAAACTACATGTTCAACTATTAAACTTACTTATAAATGTACAAAACCTAGTCTTAGTTGAAACCTGCTCAGGACATATACGAGTCTCGTAAACCTACCTTAAACAAAAATGTTTGAAACACTACTAAATTCAATTTTACTTGTAGTTCAACTTTAAAAGACTGACACGTTGCCTGCCTACGAGATGTGTTACCCTTCAGACAACTTGGAAAATGTACCTTGTCAAGTTTTAAATAGGGGTCAAACGTATAATTTAGAAACATTCAAATACATAATGGCATTACATAATACTTTTAACAAATAAATGTTTTATCTGCGAATTAATATGTGAGTTATTAGTTACCTTACCCTATGTCCTTATGTCTTCCTTATACCTCGAAGAAAGCGAGTTTATTGTCATACAGAATTTGACCAGGGGACCAGGCTAGCATCTTACCGTGTAAGTTTAATTCACGGTTTGGACGCTAACGATATAAATAGCTGGAAAACGCTGCTATACACCACGAACTACGCGCTATGAGCTACGAGCTACGAGCTACGAACTACGAACTCCGAAGACCGCACTACGAGCTACGAACTACGGCTATAGTATTTCGCCGCAACTCAGGTGTGACTTGAGGGCTTACAGAATATGTGTAAGACATGTAGGGATAGAAACTTGACTTTAAATGAAATCTGATTACTTGATCTGGATAACTTTTCAACCGACTTCAAAAAAAAGGAGGAGTTTCTCAATTCGACGATATTTTTTTTTGTTTGTTACTCAATTATTCCAAGACGCCTCGTTCGATTTCAAAAAAAAAATATTATAAAGGGTAGGTTTGTAATTTGGTCCCATTGTCATCAAGTCAGGATCTAATGAAGGAATCCCGAAGGAACAGAGGGAGGAACTTTTAAAAATGATAGGGGCGACTAGTGCATTTGTTAATTTCGCTCAATAACATACAACGACTTCTCACCTATCAGTGGGTGTGTTTAAGCTATAAGTACCTACGTATGACCAATAATAGTTATTTTATGCTTTTTAGTTCTAACTTTTCCTTTGTTTTCAGTTTTTATAGTCGATTTTTTCAAATGCAGTTTTTTATTACATAATAATGTTTCTGCAGGCACTAACCTACGCGACAAATGTTTGGATTCAATAATTGTCCTTTTTAGAATTAATTTCATGTTCCAATGTAAATCGACGTGAAACAACGCTCGCGTTGTGTTTCGGTGTATGAGTGAGGTTACCGGAGGCCCAATTACCCTCCCCTTCCCCAATCTCCCCAATTCCTGTAACGTACTTGTAACGTCTTGGTGTTTCGAGTGTCCATGGGCGGACCGATTGTTTACCATCAGGTGATCCGTCAGCTCGTATACTGGCTTATGCTATAAAAAAAAATTTTAGGCCTATTGGATAATTTTTTGTTGGACTTTAACAACGTGTTTCAAAAACATCGAGTTTTCATTCACAATGCCACCATTACCATGCATTGACAGTTAACAGCAAATGACACAAAAACGTAATACTTACTTAAAATGAAGGAACCAATTTGTTATTGTCGGCAATGTAAGCACAATAAACAAGAAATGGCGGGCCAAATGACGAACATAAATAAAATTAGTCTTCAGTGGGTGAACACCGAACTTCTGTTAGGTGTGTGCCCTTTACAGTGCAATCGAAAGTGACAGGGTGGACTTTGAGGCTGTGGAAATAGACACGTGTATTGTAATTAGATTGATATATTTTATTTTAGTCTTTATCACACTGACTTCTTCCAATAGGGTAGACGCCTAATTTTTATTTTAATTTCTGTCGGGTAGATTATTTAAAAACGTTAGACACGTATTTATGATTTTCTTACGGAAACGAATAGTTTCGAAGACATATTGATTTCAAATGTCGCGTGACGTACTTCTCAGTACATTTTATACTAAGAAATGACGTTTTAGCCCCGACTCCTAAACTTTGATTCGTTTTATCTAAGTATTGTTTTAATATACGACAAAATAAAAAATATGTGTCTAATATTTTTCAATTAGCTAACTAACGGACTAATTATATTTTTAATTTTCTTACCCTGTCATCATCCCCTTTGCCGGGTAGGTCAAATTATTATGTATTTGGAAAATGTTTATCTATCGATGATTAAGTTACGAAATCTTTGAACGAAATTTATACTGCATCCTATTGTATCAGGTTCAAATTCACGCCAAATTTTCAATCTTTATAGGCGGCATAAGCTTCTACACTTATAGTTTTATGGAAAATATTTAATATCTTTTTGTAGTTATTTATTTTTTATTTTTTCTTGAATATTTCATATAGTTGGCAGTTGCCAACCTCGACTAATCTATTCTGTTCCCTATGTCACAAAGCCATTTCTAAGATCACATCAATCTTTTGATCTGTGAAACAAAAACCGAATCTATCATGCAGAAATCGCACATTTTTCTGAATGAAAGGATAGACTGTAAGCCGAAAATACCATACATCTACATATATGTCTGTACAGTCTATCTCTATGACAAATATCAGCCAAATTCTATCGACCATTCTTGTTTACAATGACCTGCGTAATCCATTCATACTTTAACTGTTAACGTGTATAAAAATACACACAACAAAATCGTAGAAAAGTTAAAACTGTAACTACAATGAACATTTTTTATAAAAAGTACTTGCGACGTAATCTAAAATCGATATCGAAATCAAAAATATAGTTTTTATTTTTGTCTGTTTGTATGTCCGCCGTCCGGGCTAAACTCAAAAAGTACTGCGTAGATTAGCTTCAAATTCTACTATCACCTACAGGAGAGGAGCTTTTAAGAACTATCCAAAGGCCCTTTTCCACACGAACGAAGTCTCGGTCACAGCTAGCACAGATATGTAAAGATGCTCACACATCTAAGGTTTCAACACCCAATTTTAGTAATTAATCTACCACATTTCCTAGAAAGGGTAAAATCCTTAAATCACAGAATCATATAAACTTCATTATTTTATACTAAACAATTAATGTACGTATTTATTATACAACATACTACGAAAACAATTACACAAACACGTGGCAAAAGGCTGTAGGTATTTGTATACCCCAAAGGAATAGGCTGAGGTGCTCATATTATATTATATTATATTCTAAGTGTGGGAGAGCCATGCTTTGGTACGAATGAGCCGGCTCGATCGGAGTGATACCACGGCCTCAAAGAAAACCGACGTGAAGCAACGCTTGCGTTGTGTTTCGTCGTGTGAGTGAGGTTACCGGAGGCCCAATTATCCTCCCCTTCCCCAATCTCCCCGATTCCTGAGTCCCCAACGATCCTCAAACTCCTAATCCCCAAGAGGCCGGTAACTCAATTGTGGCGCCTGTGGTGTTCCAGATGTCCATGGGCGACGCCAATTGCTTACCATCACGTCATCCGTCGGCTAGTTTACCGGCTTATGCCATAAAATATATATATATATATATATAAATAAATAATAGTTGTACAAGTTCTAATGGTCAGTTAATAAAATATAAGAGCACTAGTTCTTCTAAAACAACTATTTAATAAGGATACCAAGAAATAAACATTGGCTTCAGAAACGAACGTGGGTGTTCGTCAAAATAGTGAAACTTGTAAAAGTGTTAAATAACAAAGTTTTAGTTTAGTAAACCACTTATACCAAGAACTCTGAATTCCGTGGGATTTCTATTTAACATTAGCGATATGTGAAAGCTAACTATGAACTTCTTAATTTTTATTTATATCACATGGTTTTGATTATATATGTATAACTGCCTTAAAATGGTTGTATTGTTGTTTATGTATTGTGCAGTGCTGTGTTGCAGGCGTACATAGGCCACGGTAACCGCTTACCATCAGGTGGGCCGTGTGTTTTTTGCCACCGTCGTGGTATAAAAAAAATTGTAAACGGTTGTATCTACTGTAGATCCTGTCTTGCAGGATTTGGGAGGTTGTGGCGGGTTTGTCCCTTAAAACATAATTATGAATAAATATATACAACTTAAAATTGACTGCAACTAAAACAATGAATAAATAAAAGAAAAAAAAGGAAAAAATGAAAAAAAAATGTCATCAGTGGGGCGTCAAAGAATTCGGCCGCATTACTTAACTGAATGGTTCTATATAATACTAAGAAGGCACCTCAGCTGTTTATGATTTTTAATTTTAGTTCGCTTTAATTTATAGTTTTTCTTTAAGTTATTCGTAATTTAATTTTTGTGGCCAATAATATCAATAATCATAACTATTTTTATAAAGATAATAAAAAAGTATTTTTGTTCAATTATACATTATTTTAAGTTATATTACATTATTTGTTTAAAACTTAAAGGATTATTAAGTAGTTTTCTGTGATACAAGATAGGAATACAATCATTAAGTATGTTTTGTTGTCATAGTATCCATTAAAAAAAAAGAAAACTATTGCCAAACAGAAGTTTCAATGCCGATCACCTACAAACGTATAAACATAATAAAAAATTCAAACTAAAATAAACCTAACAATTATACCAATAAACACGATTATTAATAAACTAACCTTTTTTTAAAATTAAAACTAAAACATACGTTTGAACTTGGAACATGTGGAAAAAGGTGGCCAGTTATTGCAAGCAGGCGGAGTGCCGCCCGCCCGCCCTCCCAAGCCGCCCAAAGCTACGTATTGGATATATAAAGCGGGACCGAGGCTTCAGCGGCACAACGCAACACAACCACTGACAACCACGAGCTCTCCTCTTCCCATCTACGTCAACACAGGTCCGTACGATATTTTTTTATTATTTTTTATTTTATTTTACTATTTTTATTTTGTTTTTTATTTTAATCGAATTAAAAAGTGACTTTATAATACAAAATGCAGTGCAAAATAATTCGTGTAGTATTTTAAACGTGGATAATATAATTTTCCATAAACAAAATTTATTCTTCGTTTGTTCGAATATTTTGTTTAAAACGCTATAAAAAATATTAACTTTTGTGAAAGTTAAAATAGTAATCGCTAACTTTACTAACTGGTTGGTAACAGCTGGCCCCGCTATTTAAATTAACGTTAAAAGTATTTATTACCGTGTTTTACAAGCATTTTCATAAAATAATACAAAAGTGATGATTCCATTTTCATAATAAGAATAAAAACTCTTATTTAATATCGAGAACTTACAAAATGATTGAAAAATATCTTAAATTACCTTTCTAACTACCCTAGTAAATTGTACGGTGCCACATTAACCTACTCCAATGTGTTATTTTTGTCATTGGATTTTCGACTTTACATATAAACGATAGAGTTGAAAAGAAAAAGCCTACTGTACTTTAACTCGTCGAGTACCGGTTTTGTAGACACAATTATAGAACGATAGGTTGCGGTCACCGGTGACCGCTTGGTGTTTGACAGTTTAATATGATCATGCATATCGTAACTAAAGAAAAATGCAAGTTTAATTTAAATACACTCCTCTGCTTATCCATACAGCGAATAAAAGTTATAATAGTACAGCAATATAACATACAATTGAATTCTTTATTTACGACTGTATCGGACAATCTTTCAGGTCGTTTCAGTCCAACTTCCGTTTTAATACGGACCTCATATCCGGTAGATGATGGTTATATTCTCATTTTATTTCTACTTCATGTGGTCATTGCAAGCCTTATGTGGCTTGCTGATCCATTGTCACTCGAACGAAATTGAACTGTTGCTGCTAAGCTTTGTTGAGCTGTATCTTTCAATAAATATAAAAATGAAAGAAAGTGCTTAACAAGACAAAATAAAACTAAAAATAACACACAAAATAATTCATTTATTAACACAAAAATAGAAGCCGTTTTTGTATAAGATTTAAAAAATAAACATTTATTTAAACTGATTTAATAAACACGCAATATTCACCACGATATTGAACTCCACGGCATTTACGAAGCAGATGAATCAATTTAATGATGTTTTTAAAAAGTATAATAATCATGAGATGTGATGTCTTTATTCAATAAAAAAAAAATATTTCATGTAATTTCATCGGAAAACTTATTTAACAGATAATATAACCTTCCCAATAAATATACATAATTTATTATAAGAAAACACTAGCACTATTAATTTCTATACCATTTTCTTTCCTTTTCAAAAAGGTTCTTTGGCCACAATTGAGAAAATTTTCACAAGTCATTATAATAAAAAGGTTTCAACAGTCATGTCGTATTAGAGTTACTTTCCGCTACCTTTGACCTCTCAATTTCTTTTTAATTTTAAATATTTCATTTCATCAGAAGCGCAAGTTATTCTGTTTAAAACTAGGCCTTGAATTTTTGTCGTAATAAAAAGAGAATGCTATAAAAAAATAGTAGTAGTTACTAAAATATTTAGCCATATGGTAGATAGAGTAGAATACATTTAAGTTGTCACCGCCTCTTCTTTTCCCATACGTATCATAAAAGCCAGGTTTACTGACTGGGCAACAGAGCTATCTGAGAAACCTGAATTTTTTAAACAGCGATTTTCAGCCTGCCTACCATGCGTGGAGATTTGGCAAAAGATCTTTATGAGAGACCAAAGGGTATAAATAAGTATAGGGGAACAGGAGACTTTTATTCCAATAACAGTATCGTGAGCTGTTGATGGCTAAAACATTATACTTATTTGCTAAGTTCTGCCAGCGGTTTCACCCAACTTCCCGTGGAATAAAATGTAGTCTATGTGATAATCCAGACCATAATCTATCCCTGTTCCAAATTTCATGTCGATTCTTTCAGCCGTTTTGACATGAAGGGGTAACGATCAAATAAGCATACAAACTTTTTAATTCTGACAGCTGTAAATTCAATTCAAATTCCTACAGCGAAATAAAAACTAAATATTTTCTCAGTTGTTAGTTTTACAAACTTTCGTATTTATAATATTATGGTAGGATTTAATTATACTCTCTGCCTGCCTCGTTGGCCGAGTGGTCGCAAGTGCGACTGCTGGGCAAGAGGTCTCGGATTCGATTCTCGGGTCGGGCAAAATATTACTGGGTTTTTAAAAAATTGTCAGTAGTAGCACACTGTGTCAGAAATTGTGCCCGGTATAAGCTCACCCCCTATTACATGGAACTTATAAAATAAATAGTGAAAAGTGAGTGTTACATTGTACAATAGTATAATGGACACCTCTGCCACCCCCTTCGGGGATAAAATGCGATGTTATGTAATTAATTATATCTACTCTATTTCAAAAAAATATTATGACTCGAAAGCCATTATTACGATACTTCATCTCAATAAGATATACGTACTTATCTAAAAATAAATCGTCCTGACCTATGTACTGCCATCATACTTCTATATTTAGATTAAAAATTGGTTCAAGCCAATCAACGGCAACGTTTTGATAACTTGCACGTGTAACTCCTTACAACCCGGTTCTAGGGAACAACGAAATGAATAAAAGACGTGATTGATCTATCTCGTGACCTCTATATCCATACTAGTATCGTTGGCGGCTTTACCCACGTAGAAATATATTTTTCTCAACCCGTTCATATATTAAGTGGCTTGAGTAAATCTGGATTTACAAGGAACATCAAAACAAGTCTATGTTAATAACTGATAAATTTCTTTCCAATGGTCTCAAATTGTTTAAAATAAATCTAGTCATTTCAGAGCCCATTAAATACAAAGAAATAAGTCAAATCTTACCTCTTCTATAACGGCCCGCGGTTTCCCCGCGTAGCTATAGAAAAAACGTTCAATATCTAAATCCAACCTTCTTACTATCTCCAGACACAAAAAAACATTCCTAAAGAAAAAAATACCAACGAACAAACACAGTCACATTTATTATCTTCGTTATTAGTATATAGACTGATACCTAAAAACAGTTTAATACTGGTGCACGCTTAGATACTTTATTTCAAACATACAGGGTGTGTTATTAAGTTATCCCATTTATTATACCTGACATATTGATGTCGTGGCGGCATTCACTTTAGTTATAAGTATACATTACTGTCGTTGAAGTCAAGTGGTATTTAATCAACCATATTGACTTTCGAACACGATGTATATGAATAGAACAGGAGAATATTATTAGTGCCTATAATGAACGAGGGCTTTATACAGCTTTTGGCGATGTAAAATATTGAAAGTTAAAGATGTGTGAAAATAGAATTTTAGTCAATCAGTGCGTTGATGTCTTTATAATCACGTAATTTTTTAATTTTACACTTCCGATATTATCGTTTAAAACATTCACATTCGGTTTTGTTAGTTAACTTCTGTCATACAATTAATTAAAATTATCAATTTACAACGATAATAAATTTAAAAAACAAGAACTAATTTAAAATACCCATCTCGTACCTGAAAAAACTCTCACAGAAAAAAAAATATATATTTTATAATTAAATCTTGATACTTATGACGTCCGCTGGCAGTTTTAATTAAGTGTATGTAATTAAAATTAAGCGCTCACTTCATTTATATTATACTTACGTTAATTGTGAAATGAGAGAAAAACCTACGAACATAATAATAACAAGAAAATAACTGGCCCGCGTGAATGTAATCTAATGAAACCGAATGAATTCAAAGCTAGCTTTTATTATAGCATAAGTCATAATAGGATGCAATTTTAAAATTATTGCATTTTATACGAGTTATGGGATCAGTAGAATGGGAGTGGTTATGGTAGCATGTCAGCTCCGTTATTAAGTTTAAAGACATATTATGGAAATATCGTTCCAATGAAAAACTATTGGTCTTATAATGTAGTGACGTAGAGACAACATAACATAACATCACGGCTTTTATCCCCAAAGAGGTAGGCAGAGGTGTATATTATACCAATGTACAATGTAACACCCACTTTTCACTATTCATGTTATGAGCCCCATGTAATAGGGGGTGAGCCTATTACCATATACTGGGCACAATTCAAGACTCAGTGCTACTACTGTGAATTTTTTGAAAAAACCAGTAATACTTTACCCGACACGGGAATCGAACCCGAGACCCCTTGCAGGCAGTCGCACTTGCGACCACTCGGCTAATGAGAGCAGAGGCAGCAATAGAGACAACTAACAAAGAAAACACAAAATGTTTAGATTTTTGTTTTATATATTTGATGGGCGAAGCGATGACGCTGTCTGCGATGAAGCATAAAAATAATTATATATCTATCGTTAGCTGAAAGACATTTACTGCAAAACACGGGCCTTCCCCCTAGTCCTTTACATCGAACAACAACTCGTCATTTGCAACCAATAGCTCCCCGAGGTACATGGTCGTTATCCTCGACCAACGACGCGACTTTACGTCACTACGCATACGTCATTTTATTAATGAAAAAAGCATTTACCGCCGTACTCACAGTCATTTATAGTAGAAGTATATTACTTAACTCAGTTCTTACTAATTGTTTTCGATACAAAACCGTTACTGAGAAATAGTTTAACTCTTTAAGTAATTATTGATCACATTTTGTTTTTTAAAGCACAATGCACTTTTTAGTCCACAGTTTAATTACTTAATTATTTTTAACAAATGCAAATATCCAACATTGTACAGGGTCGCCATGCAATGTGGAACAATGGGGGAGACGTGTTGTTGTTAGGAATAACTTTAATTAAGGTGTCTTAACATCTAACTTACGCTACTTACTTATAGGGCGAGGTGTCACATACACTACAAATGTCTCTGTCTAAGATGGCTAAAGGCTACTTCAATTTCAAGTCGCGCTCCAATATAGTTCTGTCGCAACAAATTCTTTGTAAAATGATAGAGATGGCACGATTATTAAGTACAATTTAAAATGAAATAGCCTTTCAGTATTCAGCCGTAAGTGTTTTAATTGAATGTGAGCAATAAAGCGTTTTTCCCACAACAAGTATTATAAGGAAATCTTCTATAATAATAAACAAATACTCAATTAGCGGTCCATGCGAAATTATTAAAATCCAATTATGAAATAGGTATAGTCTTAATACAAACAGTTATTAGTTTTGCGTACAAGGAACATGTCTGTGGGCCGCGTGTAATATAAAATAATTTCAGTACAATTTGACATTCGAAAATATTTTTAATGTCAAGTGGTTAAGTTTGTGATTAAGATAACATACTTTCAAGAAATTGTGTTGTAAATACATTGTGGTATTTAGGATTGAAGTTACTTTAATTAGGAGTGCCTACATAAAAGGTTAGAAGGCATTAGATACATACATTTTGTGAAAAGTATTCAGATTTTTAACTACAAATTTATTTCCAACTGGTAATTATAGAACTGTATATGACGTACCATTGGAATATCCTACGTCCAGCGGTGGATGAAAACCGGCGCATAATGATGTGCTCTTTGTCTATCTGTTTGTGGGCTTACGGTGTTTTCTTCTTGGTGCAGATCAGGTGCAATGATGCGTGGTGCTGGCGGAGCGCTGGCCGTGGCCGTCGCCGCGTTGCTAGTCTGCTGCAGTGCAGATCCTCATCAGGTAAGGAAAATTACAGGGTTTATGAGCAATGAGAGTCACCACTTGAAATTAAAAATAGCTACGGCTGCCATTAAATTAATGTCATAATATTAGCGTTAGATGTAGCTTTAACAGTTTTCAGTTAGTCTTCAGTCGGTAATCAAAAGCTTTAAATCAGTTATTGTGATCAAGCAATTTTGGACTTTACAGTCAGCTTTTTAAGATATTTAACCATTTGACAACTTTACAGTCACAGTCTATGGTTAAATATCTTAAAAAGCTGACTCTAAAGTAAAGTCCACATGTACATTGTATTATTAATTGTACATTGTATGCATTCTACAATCATTGCAATGCACTTATAGTTCTAATCTATTGTCGACAAATAACATTTTTAAGTTATAGGTAGTCTAAAAACTACGTATTATATAAAATATAAAAATTGACACGTTTTAACATATTTTCTCAATATAATATTCTTTTAAAAGAAGTAATAGTAAGAAAATGAATAGAAATAAACAATATATCAAGTCAATAAAATGCAATAGGTACATATAATCTTGAATTGGAAATCGCTTCCAATCTCTTCAGTGGACAAAAATCTCGATTGTGAGATATAGCACAGCATATATGGTGTACCAATAAACGATACAAGTATACATATAGTATAGATATACAATCATATGCTGTCCGAGTGTCCAGCGCTTCCCAGCCACGATACTCGTATTTAATCCACTTTATTTTTGTATAATCTTCTTGCACTCTCTGAAATAGACTTCTATATAAAATAGACACTATTTGAAATGAGACATTTTATTCATTTCAATTTAAAATATTAGAAATATTCACTCATTAGAAGTTCTTAAGGTAATTTTCTACACGACTCGCCTCATTCTTTACCTTAGAGGTTCTTCAAATATGTACCAAGTTCAAGTTGTAATGTGTTCACATTCATTATTCACATGGCTATTCGTATCGGAAACTTAACTAAGTAACGTGAACATGTTAACATGTTTACACGCCAGGAAGTTATAAATATTAAAGCATTGCATTACTATTAAAGTTGAAATAAATAGCTACACTTTCAAATGGCAATTTTATTCTCTAAATTGAAGATAAAAGAGCCCTCAATCAACAACTAAATGCCACTACTTAGGGCAGTTATTCAGTCCATTGACCCGTTAAATGCACACAATTTTATAAAAGTACACTCAAAAATTGAACGAATTTCGCCAACTGCCGTCCATTTGGTTTCCATGCGATTCCGTGTATCCCCAACACAGACAGAATATTAATAGACTACAAATTCTGATTGGACGGCTGTAACGAGAAAATATAATCATAACTAAAGCCTCCAATTAGATACTAATCTGTTTGTAATCGATACAACAAAAATAGAAATATTACAATCGATTCACTAAATTCACTTTCATTTCCTTAGCAGATGAGATAAATTGTGTAGAAGCGATAGTAAACAGCAATGAATTTTTCTTGCCAAGGTGAATACGGTAATAGCCATTGCCGGTTAGAATTACCTCTAGCATCGTAACCTATATTTCTAACGATTGAACCTTATCGAGACTATATTTCTGTGTCTTGTAAATAATTGACTAAAACTAACTTAGGTACTTTGTTTTTCAAAAACTTAGGTACACGTGTTTAGCTTGGTTTGTAGATATTAGTTGCCTTGTATAAATATCCTAATGTTGACGTTTACTTGACCTTTCATTTATAGTAGTGGACAAACTATGAGTTTTAGGCGAATTTAAACTTTGTTTCGTGTTATAAAAAGCTTAATATATAACTTGCTTAACTTGTTAAAACATTTAGAATGCTTATAAAACTGATTTAGATGATTTTACAGATGCATATTGTTTAAAAGTTTTATACGTTTAAAAGAATACACTCGGTAAAACGTTTGGTTTTTAATATATAAAATGCAAGCTGCGTAATAACAACATGTTAATAAGGACGTTGCTATCATTCCTTCGGGACAGCAAGTAATTACGACTGGTATATTAGTTGCTTCGTCGCTCTACATTACAAAAATGTTACTTTTTTATTCGTAAATTCTAGATACTTCCACTGAAGCTTTATAAAAGTAAAGGTGAAGCCGTCTTCAAATACAATTAAGTCGTTTGGCTACCAAAATAAAGTTTAACATAATATACATAAGCCAAACAAACTTGTTTCTGTCCACACTTTAAGTATGGCGTTAAATAAATATACGAAGCCATGTTGTACTCAGTCTAATAACAAAAGTAACAAAATGGCCGCTCGTCTCTAAAATACATAATTTCATTTAAAATGTTAAAAATGTCATGTTATTTAATTCTTGAATGGGAGCGTGATTAATGAGCAAATTGTGAAAAGCGTAGGCACACTATTCTAATCTGTGACTAAAATAACGGACCTTACATTATAATGAAAGTATAATTAGATTTGACAAAAATATCTTTTATGATTAAGGTGATACAAAATGACAAGAGTTCGTAATTTGCCGAATTCAATTCTGTGGCTCATGCAAATCTCAATCGTAATTATTGCGGCATTTTAACGCTTCCTTTTTTTTATGGCATAAGCCGGTAAACGAGCAGACGGATCACTTGATGGTAAGCAATTGGCGTCGCCCATGAACACCTGGAACATCAGAGGCGTTATAAGTGCATTACCGGCCTTTTGGGGATTAGCAGTTTGAGGATCGTTGGGGATTCAGGAATTGGGGAGATTGGGGAAGGGGAGGGTAATTGGGTCTCTGGTAACCTCACTCACACGACGAAACACAACGGAAGTGTTGCTTCACGTCGGTTTTCTGTGAGGCCGTGGTATCACTCCGGTCGAGCCGGCCCATTCGTGCCGAAGCGTGACTCTCCCACACTTGCAAACTTCCTTCTTGTCTAAAACTTGTTTTTTTTTATACAGGAGCAGGATGTAAGTGGTAACGACCACTCCGCTGAGCGCTACGATGGCGCCGGTAAGTGAACTCATATTACACCCACATCGCACACATTACAAACTTCCACAGTTATTCAATATTCATGTCTGCACACTGTATGCCAACACGAATGATACTTTACCTCGCACAATGAATGCAACTACTTGGAAATTGAAAGAAAAACAATCAATATTGGATTATATTTGAAACTAATCGTACTAAATATAGTAACTATTTTGATTCAGTAACTAAATACATAATATCCGTGTCGATGACAGCTTATAAGGGAATGAAGTCCAAAATAAGCTGAGCTCTGAGTGTTAGAAAGTCATAAATATTGTGAGGTCATTTTATACCGTCACCTGTAGCTACATATACCGTTGAGGTCTGGTGGCTTAGACCCGTCAAAGTAGTTCATGTAGAACATGTGGTCTATACGTATTACCTCCTGAAGTTCTGTGTGTTTGTAGTTTGTACTTTGATTTATACGCCTATTTAGTACTATTGAAGTTAGTGAAAATAATCTAAGTTGCTTATATTATTGACAGTACATACATAGTTGTCAAACAATGATTATTGCATCATAGCTTTGGTTCATACGCTTGACCATCGATACAAAAGAAATAATCCATATGTTGATTGTACTGAAGCACATTTATGTATAAGTAATGTTCACACCGTTCACACAACCAAATCGCACCAATTCCACGATTTAGAAACTACACTCCGTGTTACCAGCACAGCACAGTTTTATGTTCTGTGACGTCTAACGTCTGATGTGATACCAAAGGTTTACAACCCTGATGACCAAAAGGCGTCCCACACAGCACTAAAAATTCTTTGCACTTCCCCTGTATTTAAAATAACACTCACGAATTCGTCGAAAATTGCACTTAGTTTGTTAATAAACCCCTTTTGTGCACCAATACCATTCAGGTGATGGGATATTGCACCAATCACAGTACGTCTTTGCACAAGATTGAATCACGAAGCTTTTGTACACGGTGCATATAATATGTTTCTGCACAATGTGTGGTGAGTACTAATTTATGTTATGCACAAACTTGGTTAGCTAATCTAAGACATTTCTGCTTCAAGTTAAGATTGCTTGAATTTGTTACAGATTACAAACAAAAGGAACTCGAAGATTTTCTCCGATTCCTGGTTCACTACGAAAATAAATACGAAGACCGCAACTTGAATGGCCTCGGTGGAAACTCTCTGCTCGGAAGGAACACTAACGGTCTCGGTGGAAGCTCCCTATTGGGCAGGAACCTTGGGAACCTCGGGGGTAGTTCTCTGGTGGGCCGAGAGTTACACTACGGCGGAGCAGGCAGGAACACTCATGGCATCGGTGGCTCGACCCTTGCTGGTAGGGAAGTTGAGGGAGAAAAAAGGATGTACGCCAGATTCGTCGACTCTCTTGGAGGTGGTAACTTTGTTCGTAACCTGGACTCTATTGGAGGAGGGAATTTTGTGAGGAACCTCGACTCCATCGGAGGCAGCAACTTCGTGAAGAAAAACCTTGACCAGCTCGGCGGGCCGAACCTTGTCAAGAAGAACCTGGACTCCTTGGGCGGAGGCAACTTCGTCCGAAACCTCGACTCCATCGGCGGCGGCAACTTCGTGCGTGAACTGGACTCCATAGGAGGCTCCAACTTCGTTTAAATATTTCATTCCATCTATCTGATCGTTTTACCCTTTGTAATATTTTCTCATACAACGTATACATTGTGATATCCCTAAGAAAATTTTATTTATTGAAAATTTGTCATTGTTTAACATTCGGTGTTGATGTTTTTAAATAAATACTTTGCAACCTGAATGTTTATTTTCTTTCTACGTGTCATGTACCTTGATATAATTTGAATTTTATTGCAATTAACGGTGCTTATCGACACATAGACCGTCGCTCAGGTAAGGCTAAGTGCTGAAATATTGAATACCATTTGGATTATCAATTTCTTCTTGTAACTGACTGTTGGATTGCATGCGTGTAGATCACAAGACTCGCACCTTGGACGACGGCAACTTAGTAAGAGAAGTCCGAGAGATCCGCCACTCTGGATATGTGCCATACCTCCTCTCTAGACGATTTGACTTCGCCAGGTTAGTAGAAATGTAAATAAGTCATCATATCACATTACAACTCTCATCTATAAATAATGCTAAGAAAATTTCTTTGAAAACGACATTGAATTCTTGTATTTGATGTTGACTTTTGATGTAAAATTACTTACTTAAGGAAACGTAATTTAATCGGACACTAGAGGTCTCTAGGTGACGCTGAAATACACTTCATAGCAATCAACGTTTGTATTTTTTTAAACTTGAAAAGAGTAGAATTTCATTGTTCATTCAAAAAATATGGTTTCAGCCTTGCCTACTAAAGGCAGGTAAAACAAAAATACATAATATGTGACAGTTTAAAAACATTTTCCGACACAAAAATATCAGAAATAAACCATAAGTCATATGTAACAGATATCATAATTAATCATTTAATTGGTTTGACCCTTGTACGACTTATCTATATGCCTTCATGTTAATAAGAAAATGTAATTACGAGAAAGCTGTATTCATGACGCATTGAAAGTAAAATATTATATCTGATTCAATACCCAATTACTTGATTATTCCTCGGAGGTATTTTATGAAACACCCTGCTGTGTTGCATTGAGTAGATGAATATAGGGTGCACGGTAAATCAGTCCTTATTGAGTGAAAAGCCTTCTTTGAACTTACGAATTAGGTTTAAGAAGATTTCAATGTCATCGAATAATTGTATGCAATCAATTGGGGCATACCACATTACATTACATCACTGTAGGACTTCTCAACTTATGTTAATTTTAAGTAACTTATATTTACTGCCTGTTGGCCGAGTGGCCGCAAGGGGTCTCGGGTTCAATTCCCGGGTTGGGCAAAGTAATGCTGGGTTTTTAAAAAATAATCTTAGTAGAACACGGAGTCTGGAATTGTGCCTGGTATATGGCAATAGGCTCACCCCCTATTACATGGGACTCATACTATAAATAGTGAAAAGTGGGTGTTACTTCTGTATGCACCTCTGTCAACCCCTACGGGGATAAAAGGCGTGATGTTATGATAACTTACATTTGCTTAAAATAAGGAATAAGTACAAGAACTATGCTAATAATAAAGCATTTCTATTTGGGTGTTTGTGTAATTTCTATTAGTGAAATATTGAATCCACTTTCTTCTTTGAGCTTTCTCAACAGTTGTACAATACTGTTGTGAGTAGCTTTGCTTGCGTCAAATAGATTTTGTCTACAAATCACCCAATACTCTCTTTTCAATTTCAATTTTCGAAAAAAATTGGCTTCTAGTTGCGTCTAATAGAGTTTATTTTAAAAGATCGATTTTCTCAAAAACCTAGCCTCTAGTTGTGTCGCGGAGAACCTAACGGGTAAGCGGGGCTCCGGCTCGACGTGCGGGAGAAGGAACGGGGTGGTTTTTAGTCAGTAAGAGTCTGACACTCCCTTCCGCCTCACCCAGGCGGGAGCAGTCATTCGATGATTTTCCCCCCTTAAAAAAAACCTCTAGTTGTCATCACAGCGTTCTATCATTCAACACAAACTTCATCAACATCATTAAACATACAAAACTGAACTCATTGTCTCACAAAACCATTATTTTTAGTCGAAAATCTTAATTACTATGTATCTTAATATACTGTACACAGTCCATATGGAAGCAAACGCGAGCCTTGGGCGCTTGCACCGATCGAGTTCAGGGGGTACTACGGAGATGGCCTTCCTAAGCGTAATTTCGACGAGATCGACCGGTAAGCATATTATAACCTTTTTCCATTCTCTTTTTTACTCTTTTGTAATGAGTTTTGAAGCTTGTAAGGGGAACGTTATCTACATGGTATGAAGGATGACCAAATCTTCTATATTAATAATTTCGTCAAAGGCTACAGTAGACTCGATCGAAACATTGCCTGAATAACAAAACATAAAAAAATATCGATTTCGAGTCGACAACATATATCCGCACAATTCGGATTACGGGGAATATTTCGTTTTATTAATTCATTTTAATGACACTGACAGACACACCGCAGTTGCCATCTTGAGTAGACAATAAACGTTCGGTTTCATACTAGCTCGCCAATCAATACGCCTCGCCAATCAACACGTTGTCGCATCGAAAAAGTATAAATTAACAAGATATATGAATAATTTCACGCGAACGAAGTCGCGGGTAACAGCTAGTGATTAAATATTATCGTAACTATTGGTATGAGATATTTCGAATTAATTGTTGTTTTCGGTTTATTGACGTAACTGTTTAAAGAGGGACTCGACTAGTTTCAAGCCATGCTAGAGGCTCATATTCATGAGCAGCATACCGCGACCCGCGACATGGCGACTGTCGCGCTACTACTCACAAACGGTTACGTGAGTAAGTCGATAATATAATAATTAATTTTGTATGTCTCACGAAAGTTATAATGAGATATTCTGTTGATTATATTAACTAGCCCTTTTTTAAATGCCTACATTATATTCAATGTCGCCGATTGCTTACCATCAGGTGATCCGTCTGCGAGTTCACACAATAAATTCAAAATTTAGTATATTATACGGGACTTTATTTAAAAATTTTATAAAACATTTTTTTTCCATATCTATCTTTTCTGTACTTTATAATATTCAATAACATACTTCAATTTAGTTTTTTCAAAAATGTGTTCCACATCCTATTTAGCGCCTTGAATAACAGCTTTCATAAACATGTAATCAATTTTCAGCCTAAAGCAATATTGGGATATTTTTAGTGAAAACACTAGGGAACGCGCTTCAGTGTATACGATTTGTATCAAGTATTTACGAAATTCTATTGACCGATACATGCGAAATTGATTTGACATTTTCATTCGAGATATGTCAATGAGAACCCGTCATTTTCATGTATTTAAGGTACATATACAGGCTGTTAAAAATCATTCGTAATATGTTTATATGCCGTGTATGGTACGTTTTGTTAAAAAATACTTAAATCTAATTTTATTTTTTAGTAATTATTGCAATCTCACTACAAAAATACCAGCATTTATAACTATTTTCATAAAAATATTAATTTTTACTTATTTTACATATTTAGCTACATAAGCTTCTGCCCGCAATTTCATAATCGGTTTTTTCCTCGGTTCCATAGGAGTTTGGAGAAATCCTTAGATAAAAATTATCCTGTATCCGCTTCCAGGTTTTAAGCTATCTCCCCTCCAATTTTCAAAATTTTTTTTCCAGCAGTTCTAGAGTTATAAATACACTACATTTTTTATAATTAATACAGTTGTATAGATCTCTACCGAAGTTGTACAAGTCCCTAGACAGCTAGTTATGACGAAAACTATTCGGTAACTGATTTCTAAATTCATAGTAACTTAAACACATAGGTAACTACTGCCCAAAGCTATATAACTTTAAAGACGCACTTAAATGTCTACTTGTTAGTTAGTTCGGGCTAAAAACAAATTGTCAACATTTTTTTACTTCAAATTCCATTGTAGTTATTTTTATTGTAGTGTAAATAAATACTGTTTATAAATAAATAAATTAAACACAAGGCCTGAGTCTTCAATATATTATATTTCCAGAGTTCGATCACCCTATTGTTGAAACAGCGAATCGCCACATTCACAGAAATTGAAATGTTGAAACAAGGAAATCACAATTCCTCAGACGTAACTTACTAAGAATTCTCTAACAACGGCTAAGGGAAAGCTAGGATTTCTATGATTAAATATTTAAACGGATTCCTAATCCCAAATATTTTTACGACCGATGGAATAGGAAGGGAAAACTATTTAGGGGTATGTTATAAATTATCCATCTAAAACAAAAAGAACAAAAAACATTAAACTTGTCTTTTCATTCCTAGAATACTTTTATACAAGATCCAAAACAAATACTTTTATTACGCATCAAATGATATAAAGAATCCACTTTATTTTAAGTAAAGAACATTGTTATTTTTAATACAATACAACGATGGTCTTTTTTTTATGGAATAGGAGGCAAACGAGCAGACGGATCACCTGATGGTAAGCGATCAGCGCCGCCCATGGACACCGCAACACCAGAGGAGTCACAGGCGCCTTGCCGGCCTTTTAAGGTGGAAAGATCTGTCATCGACAGTATTTCCGAACCGATACGACCTTCAAACTTTCAAGAAAATAGCAGCCGACTTTTTACAAGGCCGGTAACGCACCTGTGAATCCTCTGGTGCTGTGGGCGGCGATGATCGCTTACCACCAGGTGATCCGCCTGCTCGTTTGCCTGCTATTCCATAAAAAATGAACCAAATAATTCTATAAACTTCACACACACAATAATACGTTTCGTATCTAAAAAGATATCTATACCTATACTATTTTTCTATAAATAAGACCTTTAGACAAGCTCACCAAAAAGGTTCTTATAATTACACCAACAATCGGACGTAATTAGGGAGCTCAGTATTTCCGTTTCCATTTCCTAAGATGGCGGACACCAAATGTTTATTTTCTTCCCGTAAATAAAAATACTTCTTTACAATGTCAGCTGCTGAATATACACGGATTCATTGCACTATCAGACTGGAATAGAAATTACAACATTTTTTATGATGATTATTTAAGTCCCCTTTACACAAAATGTGCAATCGCTAGTCGAAATAAGTCAATAGAGTAGTTAAATGTTTAGACATAGGTGACATAAGTGTTCAAATCTGACATTCGATGGTCTTGGTCAACTGCCCAACGACCACATGGTTCTTGTATTTACCACATCACCAAATAACGTCGGCCATAGAATACACACAATTCCCATAGTAATAATGTTCTTACCTCTTTACACTTCCTTAAATTAAATAAACATCTAATAGATAAAATCTTTTCCACCAGATCCGGCCTGGACACGTTCGTGAAGAAGCGCAACTTCGACGAGATCGACCGTTCATCAATGCCGTTCCCCTACGCGACCAAACGCTTCTACCATCTGTACGGAACCAATGACATTGATACCCCCGTGTAAGGCGCGTTCAGCGACCGATTAGCACTGAAACGATGACACACTACCGATGTGAAATATTTTTAACACTTATAATAGATATTTCATTGATAGATTCCTAGAGCAAGTAAGCAAAGGAGAAATTCGAAATCGAGTAACCATTGTTTGAATCTAATACAGCTACAGGCTTCCCCTAATTACATATAACTCATTACATAATTTGAAGTAAAACAGTAACAGTGATTGTAACATACGGCGTCATAATATATCTATATCACTGTAAAAGTGCTACAGCATTGTATAATTCTCTGGTAGTTTCTCGTCGGAGCATCCTAAAACAACAGTCGATTCAACAAACTAAAATCCAATTCAATGCAAACGTTCACCCAGTTCGTGAATAAACGTTAGAACTGGAACGTGCTAAAGCATTCCTTGTGTTACAGTTCAAGCTTCGACAAGAAGAGGTACAGACCTGACTACCCCATGGACGAGATTGACCTGTCACACTTCCCCATCGGTTCCAAGAGGTCTCAAGACGACTACCCCCTCGTTCCCCGCAATTTACTGTAAACAAAAGAATCCAGCTACCGTCCTATTTACAAACCATTAGTCCACAATTCCATATAACTGTCTTCGCTCAGAACTCTGTGATTGCCTAATAAAACATTTCGTTTGTTACAGTAATGGTTTTTTCTTTATCTTTCTACGATACTAAAGTTCTTACTTTTTCTAAAAAAGTTTTAATGATGTAACAAAAAGTTTTTGTGTAAAGTTGATTCTTTGACTTCGTCCGATCCTCTACACCCCGCTTGTATTAATATCTTATAGTATCTAGTACTTTCTCATTGTTAAAGTATCTAGTTTAGATAATTATTAGACTTATAATATGATATTGTACATTTCTCTGATATTATAAATTGTAGTAAAATTTAATGTGTAAGGAGGGAGAGGTTTAGATTCTTATCTAAATATTATATCAGTATTATCGAGAACCCTTAGAAAATAACCTTAAAAATTGTACCTGTATGTTTATGTTTACCTTGCATTGTGTATGTAAAAGTTTATGTTGACTTTGAGTATAAATTATTATGAAATAAATAATAAAAAGTATATGAATGTTTTCATTTGTTTCAATTCTTATTTCGTTCTCTGTCGAAGAGACTCAGTTTCAAATATAATTAATGTTTAAGTTTGTTCAACGCCCTGTATAAATTACTTAAAAGGCCGCATCCCTTATCTCACTGTTGGTTAAACAAGACGGCACAAACACTGAATAATAACTCGCCGACGGCTGTAACAAATAGTTTCCATAAGAACATTATTTTTACTTTGAAACCTTAATTACGAAGGCGGCCAATCTAATTACAATTTTAAATCCTCCTTCCACAAAACATAATTTCGAAAGCTCAGAAGTTTTCTTTGAGAAATAATAAGTTATTGTTGTTGTTGGGTTAACGAAATTGTTGAAATTCAAAAGAGTTTCAATTCCTTTCCGTGTCATACTCTAAATAGGTGGTGGAAAGTTCGAAACAATGTTTGTGCTACTACAGAAACTTGACCGGTTTGTTGAATAATATTCAATTTTATTGAATGACGACCGAACTCATCTCATTCAAACTATAAATAAAAGTATAATTTCAAGCACCTCGTTGGTCGAGAGGATTGCTTAATAAGAGGTCACACTATGTATTGTCAAAGTTTCAGGCATTATGCTTAGCCGCATTACGTAGTTCTTAACATAACCGGTCAAAAGTGGGTGTTACCTCTGCCTACCCTTCCGGGGAGGAAAAGACTTGACGTCATATTTCTCATAATTCTGATGGGTTTAACTATATTACGAAAATACCTGATAAAAGATAACCAAAGCTTTAGAGATTATTTCTTGTATTGAACTGCTTTGTAAAAACACGAAAATTCAATCTAGTTGATAGGTACCTAACTACCTATGCTTAGCTATGTATTCCTGACTATTCAAATAGTCACGTAGAGAGATTAAACGAATCACAGTCCACAAAACGGCTCATAAAAGTAAGGTGTGCCGAGATTTTGCCGACAAATGGCGACAAAATGGCCGATGACTAACGTTTCTAAGTAATTAAAGTTCGCGTTGGAACGCAATCTAACTAAGCAATCTAAAGTGTGACAAATAACTGGCGGTGGCACCACATTCGATTAAAAACTGACACACAGTTTCGAAGTAAATCGACACAACAATATAGACTCGGTTGCAGGTGGAATTGGGGACAGATATGTAGGGCGTATGTGTGTCTCCCGGTTCCTAGTTGCTTACTTTTGGTTAGCGAGTTCTATCTAAGGCTGTGAACAAACATGTAGTTACTGATTAATCTTCTATTATGTTTTGCCATAGTACCAATAATGTTCCCCATTCATTCCATGTTCTTTAAAGACAACTAAATCACTGACTGACATCGAACCTTACCTTAATTTAGTGTTTCGTAGAATTTTTTAAAATTGAATGGAATGCCACGAAGTATAATGGTCGTTTGACCAACGCAGTTATTAGTATACTCTTTGAGTACCGTCACTAAAGACACAATTAAACTGTCAAACACCAAGCGGTCACCGGTGACCGCAACCTATTGTTCTATAATTGTGTCTACAAAACCCGTACTCGACGAGTTAAAGAACAATAGGTTGCGGTCACCGGTGACCGCGCGGTGTTTGACAGTTTAATCTAAAACAAGTTACTTGATGATTTGGTTTCAACCAAAGTTCAAAATAGAATGGCAATGATATCACCTTGTGTTAGGACATACCTTTAGGAAAGCTTGATGTGTTCTGAGTTTTTAGCAACTCTATTGTGTTTTCTCCTTGTAAGTTAGGATTACCTGTATTAACTCGTCGAGTACCGGTTTTGTAGACACAATCATAGAACAATAGGTTGCGGTCACCGGTGACCGCTTGGTGTTTGACAGTTTAAATAAAAATTGTGCTATTAAACTTAGAAGAAACTAAATAGTGATGTCTTTAAATACAAAGTTGTTTATGTTGCTTAAATACCTTAGAATTACTACATTTACCTATACATATAAATAAAAATTAATAAACGTTTGTTACATCTGAATACTGAAAGGCTACTCAATTTTAAGTTGTACTTAAATATCGTGCCATCTCTGTCATTTTACTAAGAATTTGTAGAGACAGAACTATATTTAAGCACGACTTAATATTGGGTGAGGTTTGAGTATTTCAGCGTTAATCTCGCTAAAATTGGAGAACAGCTGAACACATTTATCTGATTTTGGTCTTGAAATGTTTGTGAAAGTCCAGGGAAGGTTTAAAAGGTGAGAAAAAATTTTAGGCGGTACGAAGTTTGCCGTGGCAGCAATTTTTTTGGGACAAGCCAGCCACAGCCTCACAATACCGCTGCAACTCCTGTAAGCCAGAATCTACAGTAGATAGAACCATGAAAACACTGGAATGTCAATGACAAATGAAAAACATGGAACACTGAAGTCCGGCGCGGCTTAATTCATTCTGTCTCCTGCAATAATTAACCGAGGGAAGTGGAAACTATCGTTTTTTTTTCTTCTCCTCTTATAATATCTTCTGATTCGCTGCGTTCCAGTAACCGAGACAGTTACTCATGTCCCTGGGACGCGCCGGACTTCGGTGTTCCGGTGTTTTCATGGTTGTATCTACTGTCCGCGGGCTTGTCCCATTAAACAAATATACCAAGGTATGACAAGGTAAGTAGTTTCGTTTCGTCCAGTGCTGAGTCTAAGGTCTAAGATAAAGGAAATCCATAGCCTAAAGAAGAACAAAAATGTGTTTAAAACGAATAACTTTGCAAGTCCACACATTTTTTTAATATAATACTAGGTATATATAATGCCTCATTGGCCGAGTGGTCGCAAGTGCGACTGCTAGGCAAGGGGTCTCGGGTTCGATTCCCGGGTCAGGCAAAGTATTACTGGGTTTTTAAAAAATTCTCAGTAGTAGCACGGAGTCCAGAATCGTGCTCTGTATATGGCAATAGGCTCACCCCTATTACATGGGACTCACAACATTAATAGTGGAAAGTGGGTGTTACATTGTAGAGGTACAGTGCCATAATGCGCACCTCTGCCTACCCTTTCGGGGATGAAAGGCATAATGTTGTATACAGGGTGTCCAAGAACCTGGCGTCCAACTGGATTCCCACGATGCCCCAAGTTCTAACAGTACTCAGAAAAATATTTTAAAAAATCCACCCCATGTACTTACAGAATTATACTGATTTCAAAAAAAAAGGGGAAATGAGCACCCTGTGACATACTTTTGAATGCTGTGACTGCTAATGCTGATAATTTCGATATTTCTTGGAGGTTTTGTAATCTAGGGTATTGCTGTGTCTAAATAGAATGTAAAAATAAAGTACTTATTGTACCATTTTAAAATAAAATATTATTTTAACTAAAGGTGATATGGAAAACTATTGAATTTCGCAACTTTGACCGACTGTAGTGTAAAAAAATGTACCAAAATAGTATGGCAAGTGACGTCAAATTTTGACGCGTTTATTCCTCTTTTTAAAAAGGTATAATACTTACACATTAATTTGAAAAAAAAAATTTTTGATAATATTTTTACTCAACAACCCAATTTTTACGATGTCTTACAGAATTCTTAGAAAGAAAAATTTACGACGAATTGAATCTAACCTCTAAAGAATTACTATTGTATGCTCATAAAAATAACAACAGGCCTCTCAAAAAACAGGTTAGACCGTAAGGGACGGTATGTGCATGCATCTCATCATCCGTACCACGTACAGCGAGTGCAAAGTCTTTTACCTCGAGACTATCCGAGCCGAGTCGCGGTATATATATGTATGTATATATAATAGTAACTGTTCCCCGCGCGTCCGCGTATAAAAATGACGAGAGTAAATATAATAATAAAAACGAATGAGACTAAATAACGCATTCCACTCAAATAAGTTCCTGTCCTGTACGATTTCCTGGATAGAACAATCATACGTTCTTTCCAGTGGCAGTGTCTCCAACTCTCGTTAAGCCGAATTTCAATCAAAAAGGTTCAATGGTAAATAAACTCAAACTCAAACTCAAAAGCATTTATTTCAATTAAACCATAATTTGGTACTTTTGAAACGTCAACAAATATGAAATATATAATAGTCTGTCAGTCTGTCCGTCAGTGAAGCTAGGCGCTCGTTCCAAAATGTCGATTCGAGTGGAGAAGAACGAGCAAGAAACTCCATTCGTTACTCTTTTAAAAAAGTCTGTTTTACATTGCTCTGTGATACATATTCCAATATTGTACACACATGTAAGAATAATGTAAAGACATACCTGACGCAACATACAAATAACAGAACATACTAAAATAATAAAAAAAAACGAAACCAAGAGAAAACAAATATCTTAAGTCTGACATGGTCCTCACATATGTATACTGACAATCCATATAAAATAGTGCTTCTATATAAGAAAAATAGATTGCCTTCATCGGAATCAAAGTATTAAATTATCTATTATCGTAATCTTAACTAGGTACTGACTACATTTGAGTATTGTCCAGTGGAGCCGAACCAACACGCTGCCAAGCATTCCTATCCTCAAGATAATCAATCACCCTGTAATAAGCTTGTTTACATAATTCGCGCTTAATTTATGTTTTAAATTTACTTTCATTGAGATCTAGTATGCTATTTGGTATTTTATTATAGCATTTAATACCTAACCCCATAAAGGATTTCTGTACCTTGGACAGTCTGAATTGCAGTACAGCTAACTTATTCTTGCCTCTATCGCTTCTTTTAATAATATTAGTATTCAACCTCTTTGGATACTTCAATGTCATGATAACAAAAAAAATGTCAATGATCCATTGGCATAAAACTCACTTGTCAAAAATAATATGTCAGATAACATAGAAATGTATACATAATATCATAAATTTGTTTGTGTCCGTTTGTTTTGTTACAAATTGATGTGTTTTTTTATTGACTGGAGATAGTTAAAAGGATTGAAAGTAGCATAGGCTACATTTTGTTTCCTTCTAACCCACCACTTCCCTAAAACAGGGGGTGGAAGTTGGTATGGACCATTTCGTAATTTTCAAGAAACCTAAAATTAGTAGCATTTTTGACCAGCAAAACATCGGGAACGATTCTTTTTTATTTTTTGTAATCCTGCCCCAATACTTTAAAAGAGCGCGACCAAAACCATGGGCAGAAGCTACTCCATGAATTAAATGTATTTCGTTAATTGAATTTTTATTTTATATTATAAATTTTCTGACTCTGATGTAGCCAACTACTATTATTAGTCATGCTAGACTCGATTGTCGTTCGATGCGAACAGACGTATTTATAACTTACTATTGAATTAATGCAACAGTGACCTACTAAATTACTTTTGCTGATACTGTAACTTAGTATTTTACAATGAAAACATAATCAAATCATAGTAGTTTGAAAATGGATAAAATACCGAATAATCTGGCTTCCTGTGCCTCACCAATAGGGAGCAGCCGTAAATCTGGCTTCTCTATAGAAGCTGTGTCCACGCCCGACATTCAGAACTGGATGGCAAGCATTGAGAAGCAGTTGAACGAAGTATGTATTATTGCCACAGAGGGCAAACTCAATTCGGAGCAAAAACTCAAAATTTCTAACTTGAGCCGAAAAATTGGTGCTGATGTGTCGCAAATGGCTGTCCTCTACCAAGCTTTAAAGCAGCAAGCCCGCTTAGCCGTCAACATTATGGATGAATTGAGGGAAAAACAAGATCTATCAGACCAAATGTTGGAGATCAAAAACACTCTCAAGAACTCAAATACAACAAAAAACGAGTCTTTCGCTGATATGGTGAAGAAAGGTAAAAGTTTCGTGCGACCTAACAACTTGTGCTCTGTTGCTATTTATCCAATAAATAAACAGAAGTCTAGTGATGAAACTAAATCGATTGTGCAAAAAATTATAAGTCCTGAAGAATTGAAGCTACATGTGCGCGGAGTCCGTCGAACTCAAAATGGAGGTGTTATAATTAGCACAGAAACCAAAGAAGATGCCGTCAAAGTCAAGGATGCAGTAGGCATATCGTTGTCTGGACTCTTTGCTGATGAACCCAAAAAGCGCCAACCACGACTCACAATTATAGGAGTGCCGACGTCCATGAACGATGCTGACGTAATTAAATGCATATACGAGCAGAACATAACTGACAAGTTCCCAGATATGTCATTAGAGTCCTTTTTAACGGCTGTTAAAATAAGTCACAAATCTGGAAAAAAGGATGCATCGACCTGTAACTTCATAGTAGAGTTTCCAGCAAAGATACGTAAAGCCCTTATATCCCAAGAAAGGCTTTACATAAACTGGACTTCTTGCCCTGTCAGAGATTTTACGCTCGTCACCAGATGCTACAAATGTCAGCAATATGGTCACGCAGCAAAAACGTGCCGGGAGCTCTCCCCATCGTGTGGCCACTGTGGAGAAGTGGGACATTTAACATCTGCGTGTACTAAGAAAGTGGAGTCCCTTAAATGCGCAACTTGTTCTCGGTTTAACAAACCCAGCCAGCATAAAACTGGAGACGTTGAGTGTCCCGCCAGGAAGATAGCGGAATATCGGTACATCAACTCAATCGACTATGAGGGCGCATAAAAACGCATCACACTCTAGGTCTTTCCGAGTTGGTTAACCTTTGCCCTGAACAACAGTTACACAACATAACAGCCTTATTGCTACCTAAGCAATTAATTTCATATTATTGTAATTAGAAAATGACCGAATGTATTGTAACCTAGTTTATATTCCTGCTGATGTTTGCAATTCCTCGGTCGTAGTGATATGTTGTAATTCTGAATAAATGTTAATGTTAGGTATATACTATAATGTTGCAATATTTTTGCCTATCCCTTCGGGGATTTATTGTTATGTAAGTAGGTATATTTTATGTATAACTAATAATTAAAAATGCACCTCTGCCTATCTCTTATGAGAATATAGAGTATGAGGTTTTATTTTGTATGTATGTATGTTTATTAAAATAATAATATTGTTTACTGTTGCATAATGATAAGTATGTAGTTACGTTTTTAGAAATAAGATGTCTTCCTACGAAAGTAATGTATAGAGCTCCTTTAGCCTGCGATACAGGATTGTCCTAGTGCAGGCATCTAACTTTATGAGATCAATTTTACTTACTTGAAACATATTTTGTATTTTGCATTTTTGAATTATGAATAAAATTTTATTTTATTTATTATTATTGAAAACAGTTTCCTATTGGCAGTCAAAAGCTTAAGCAATATAAGCAGTTTTTTGGTAGAATTTTCACACATCGTTTTACATTATCGAAAATATAGCCTATGTTCATCATCGATAATCTAGAATTCCAACGGTACGAAAATTTTTGAAATCGGTCCGGTAGTTTCGTAGGAGATGCCATTCAAACAAACAATCAAACAAAAAATCAAATCTTTCCTCTTTATACTATTAGTGTAAATGTAGATGTAGACTAGGTATTATAAAAACTGAACCATAAATCCCTTGAAATAAAAATAATATGAATATATGTATTTTCTTTAAAAAAACATGTTCAATAAAATAATTTTACACTTGAACACAATGGTGAGGGACTATGTAATCATTACACAAACAATACAGTTATAATATTAAACCCTTGGAAAACATATTTCTATTATAATACCGATGTTGCATGTAATTGAGTGGTACTGGATTTAGTATAAATTTTGGTGTTTAGTTGGACTATTGGTACAGTTTACAGAAATGATGGGTGGTACTGACATATTGCGGGCTGCGGTCATCGCTACATTTATCGCTTGGTGCACTGCTTATCCTCACAGGGTACATACTTTTACATTCATCATTATCATGATGATGTTATCGCGCTGTATCACTGAGCGACAGTATCGCTGTCATACTGCATAAAGCTTTACTAACGTATTTTTTTACAAACAGGGACTTTACGGCAACAACAATTACAACAACAACGATGCAAATCTCGACTATGCGTACAGTAAGTTATTAATCAATTACCTACATTCCACAAATATACTTTTCTACCATATCACACATACCAATGCATATGTAGCTAAACACAGCTGTTCTCTATGTTCTCTCAATATTGTCGGTACTCCAACAACATTTGGCCAAAGTGTGGCCAGGAGTACCTGGATATTTGTTTCATCATCATATTAGCCACAAGAACTCCACTGCTAAACAGATAGGAACCACCAGTGAAATTTGTTTATTCAAGATATTTATTTATAAGTGTGGGAGAGCCATGCTTCGGCACGAATGGGCCAGCTCGAACGGAGTGATCCCACAGCCTCAAAGAAAACTGACGTGAAAGAACGTTTGCGTTGTGTTTCGTCGTATAAATAAGGTTACCGGAGGCCCAATTTCCCCAACCACTGAATCCCCAAAATTCCTCAAATTCCGAAGCCCCAAAAGGTCGGTAACGCACTTGTAACGCCTCTGGTGGTTCAGAGGTCCATGCGAGAGGGCGACACCGATTGCTTATCATCAGGTGATCTGCAATCGGCGTCTGATAAGCTCGTTTACCGGTTTATCCAATAAAAAAAAATCGTATAATTTTGACTGCACATAGAAATGTGCAACAAAATTCTATCTCTATGCAAATCTGTAAATAAAAGGTTATTTAAACTCTGGCCGTAAGTCGTTTCATTCTAGTCGAATAAAAGTCTATTAACGTCAACACAATTATTGAAGCTCATGTTTTTACACGTGCAGGAAACTCGTTGTCTAATGGCCTGAACAACAACAACAACAACCTGCGTTCAAATCTGAATAATCTGAACAATCTCTCCAGACGACAAGTTCCAGCAGCAGCCCTTGGGTAAGTTGACTCGCTATGTATATACACACCTTCAGTTAAATCTGTACTGTTTGCTTTGTGTGTAGCGTGTGTAAAATGTAGTCTATAAATAAATTGTGCATGTCTGACAATGATTATTCAAAAATAATATATTTTTTTACCACAGCGCAGCTCCAGTCCGACCTCCGACAGCAAAATATCTTCCGATAGTCCATAGCCGACAGTATGTAAAAAGCCATATTTACATTCCTAGTTTTTATAAGAAATGTTTCAAACGAACAGAGGGTTTACCTGATGATAAGCAATTGATGACGCCCAAGGATGGAAGGTTACAAATGCGTCTACTCACTCATACGACAAAGCATTACCTAAGTAAAATCGTAGTTGAAAACGTTCATTTCATTAATAACATTTTCTTAGTAATATAATTAAGCATTAAGAATTAAAGATTTTAATTTAGTTTTATTGTTAGTTTAGTTTGTTGCTAGTTGTATCATAGTAAGTGAGAATGCGTCGAAAAAAAATTAATATCAGCCAATGCAACAGAGATGTTAAAAGGATGAGATTAATTCGATCACAGGAATCTGAACAGGATCATGCAGCAAGACTTACCGCATCTCAGGAACGTCAGGCTAGCATTCGCACGGTCAGCTTTATGTAGCTTTGTCGCGCATGAGCGAACCCAGAAACGTATATGCTTTGATTCCAGAAGGCCATACAACTATTGCTGTAAAAGAGAGTTAAAATGTTGTACAGAGAAGCATTATTGTAATTTTTATTCTAATTAATATCCACTTCCATACCCACAAAGTCGCGGGCACAGCTAATTTTATATTTCATGTACAGATTTGACCCCTATACAGATTTATTTTATTGCCAGGAACTTACGTTTTGTGGCGCGCTGAAAATCAATCATTAATCGCTTTTTGACTTGTTTCTTCAAAATTCTATGTTTATTTCCAAAATTCTGTCTGTCTGTCTGTCTGTCTCTCCTTTACGTCTAAATTACTGAACCGATTTAGGTGAAATTTGGTACGGACATAGTTTGAAACTCGAGAAAGGACACATGAAACGATGACACACTACCGATGTGAAACTTTCCTATCACGTATAAATAGATATTTCGTGGACTTGCAAGCAATGGTGATCGCCAAATGGTTTCGGGAATTCCAAAATCGAGTAAACTGTCTTTAAATTCAATACAACTACAGGCTTCTCCTATTACATAACAGTAACAGTGATTGAAACACAATATAAACGTTTTGTTATAGTCTTTTTATATGACTGTAAGAGTTCTATAGCATTGCATAATCTCTGGTAGTAAAAGCTAAAATATTCCTTGTGTTACAGGTTTGACGAGATTGACGCGTCACATATCCCCATCGGAGGGAGGAGGACTCGAGACGGCCCCGTTCCCCGCAATTTGCTGTAAACTGTCTTATTAACAAACCGTTAGTCCACAATTCCTTACAACTGTCTTCGCTCAGAACTCTGTGATTGCTTAATAAAACATTTCATTTGTTACAGTAATGGTTTTTTCTTTATCTTTCTACGATACTAAAGTTCTTACTTTTTCTAAAAAAGTTTTAATGATGTTACAAAAAGTTTTAGTGTAAAGTTGATACTTTGACTTCGTCCGGTCCTCTACATTCCGCGTGTATTAATAATATCTCATAGTATCTAACACTTTCTCATTGTTAAAGTATCTAGTTTAGATAATTATTAGACTTATGTAATTGTACACTACTTAACAGACAGAAGTGCACTTCCAGTGTCAAACACTTAGCAATATTAGTGGCGCTTATGACCTTCTATATTTTAACCTTAGCGTCATTATTAAAATATGAGGGTAAATATGAAACACAGTGATAAGTTCTCTTTAAGTCCACCCTCATATTTTAACTACTTTTCTAGTCACATTAATTATTCCGGTATTCGCTGTTGTTGATTGGTGAACATAGCTACGAGTGTTAGTGTAATATGTTTGTTGTGTTTTTATTCTTTGTATTCATTATGCAGCTACTTGTATTGAAACCAAGGCAACCCTATGTTCAAAAGGTCGTCATATATCTCAAATATAGAATGAAACCGGCTTATATGTAAGTATTTTTTTATCTTTATGTGATGATACCTACAAAATAATATAGATAAATTGCAAGTGAGTAATATTTATATTTTTTCTAGCTTTTACCCGCGGCTTCGCTCGCGTCACAAAAGGATAAAAAGCAGCCTACGTGACATATGCCAATACACACAGCACCATCTATACATAATTTTGTTTTCCCTCGAGAATATCTAATTTTTCCGGGATAAAAAGTAACTAGTACATAGTAAAGTTATTTAATCCAGACTTCTAACTTTACGTCTGCAAAAATTTAAAGCAATCGGTTTAGTAGTTACGGCTTGAAAGCGGAACAAACAAACAAACTCACTTTCCGATTTATAATATTAAGTAAGGATTTTTAGAGAGAGGCTATTAGGCATTAGGTGAAGAGATTTGAGGAAGAAGGTAGTCTGAAGAGTTGTGATAGGGAGTGGAAAACCAACTCTTGTTAGCCTACCTCGGCGACGTTATATAGTAGCTGAATATGAGCCAAATGGTTTCATCCCAACAAGGCGTTTTGCTGATGAGTTCGGAACATCAGCACGCACCTTTCGCCGCAGACTCCGAATGCCAGCTAAAAAACAGTTTGTAACGCAACGGCATAAAGAGGAGAGGTTACGTTTAGCCCAGGAATATTTGGACTTTGAGAATAGTGAATATGTGGGGGTGGATAAGTGCTCAAGGGCTTGATGAATTAAGTTTTATTTCAACGCGAGCCAACAGTGTCAATTATGTGGAAGTGTTGAACGATGTTATGTTGCCTACGGTGCGTAATGTCTACCCTGCAGAAGACGTAAGTGAGATAAGTTTAATGCAAGACAACTGTCCCATTCACCGTGCTAGCGTTATTCGTGAACGGTTTAGCAATCATCTTGAAATAAAAGCTATTTCTTGGCCAGCTCTGTCCCCTTACTTAAGCCCCATAAAAGTAGAAAATATTAAAAATCTTAAACAGGTAGTGTAATTCTGTGTCACGTATGTCCTTTTCTGTTGTCTGTAAAATAAAATTCCAACAAAAACATTCTGTAAAAAACTAGCCAAGTCTCGATGGAACTGCTATTTTTCTTCTAAATAGTAATAAAATATAACAAAGTCATGCCAAGTCTAAGGTTCCTTACTGCGATTTCGTTATTATTATAGTTAATGTTGAATGACTTTGCCGTTGAAGGGTATTATACTACCTCTATATTATGGATTGGAAGTTGATTTTTCTGTGGGATAAACATTTACAGTAATATAAATTGTCATGTTTGTGTACGGTGCGCAATAAATAAATATTGCATTCTACCACATAAAAGATAGTACTTTTATTCTGATAATTAAAGCAATTCGTGCAAAATTATTCCATAACTATTCCAAAATATCCAAAATGCTTAACGTTAATACTTAAGTTTTCACTTCTGCCGACACTCCCGGATTGCAACCCTTCACTTTTATTTGACACTTTTTTTTAGTTATAGTCACTGTATTATTAAATTTTGACCAATTTTTTTGTGAAATTGAAATTTTAGTGTAATTTGTTTATTTAATCTAATCAGGATCACCAGTTACTCCAGATCTTCGATTATCCTATTTTTTTATAGTTTACTCTTTATGCGGCCATAAAACCCTAACTCTGTACCAAATTTCAGCTCTCTGAGGTTATGGGAAGTACTAGTTCTATTTTGATGATCATGAGTGAGTGAGTGTCCTAAATGCGAAACTTTGCTTTCGCTTAACTTCGGAACTAAATGAGCTGCATTTTAAGTATGTATCTTACTGGATGACGAAAATTTCTGCGTTCTGGTCTTATCCAGAGGTTCTCAAATAGGGGCCTGAAAACGCAGTGAAATGGTTCCAGTAAAGGATGGTACGGCAGTGTTTGCTTCGCGCTCGACTTAGTGCCCCCAGATCAGAGTACAAAAGAAGTAAATAATTTTGTAAATAAAACAGTATTATTATCTATTTTTATTACAAAAAAATTATTTACAAATAAGTGGTTTCATATCCAAACAAGCAAACATGTAAACAATATGATAAAAATTTAAAAAAATTATGTGGCGTATACCGTATACATCGATTATTTAATTCGGGTTATTTTATTGTAGCTTGCCATATTCTAAAAATGCAAATCTCCTCTGAGCAATGGGCAGCAGGAAGATTGAATCTAATTGTGATTGTCTAGTTGTAAATAGGTAGTCGATTAGGCACCTCAGTAGTTTAGGTAACTACTGAGGTGCCTAATCGACATCTTTAGTGCCAAGACCTTTTAGGACCAAGTAACTTTAATGGACTATTTAGTTATGTAAACCACAAGAAATACTTGACTAAGTGCCTAGGAATATATATTACAATGTAGTGACCTTATTTATAGTATATCGAAAATCATAGTCGTATTTGCAATTTATTAAGAAAGCAATTACATTGCCCAGTAATTCATCACATTTTTTGCTTGAATGTCACAATTATTACAATGTTAATCAGATAAAATAGATGCATAAGTAAAAATACAATTATTTTATATAGGAAAATTACACTAAAATTTACAAGCATATGTCATTAATAAATCTAGTAGACTAACAACTAAGAATAGATTATTTTTATAATGTAGGGTGTTTGTAAAAATATTTTAGATTGTCCGTAGTTAGTTCATAAACGGAATTAATAAAATAACCTGAGAGTTCTGTGGTTACCTCGAACATTGTAAACCTTTTATACCTTTTATTCCCAGGTATTGAAAAATTAGAAATGTTGCATTAAATAATGTTAAATTAAAAAACAAAAAGATTAAAAAACATAAAAAATTAAAAAACAAAAAGAACAGCATCAATGCTGGGATCGAACCTGCGACCCATCTTCGTATATCTCATGCGATAACCATTGCGCCAAGCTTGCGACTATCGTGAAATATTTGTTTTGATGCATGCATTGGTGGCAGTGGACTTTTGTCGTTTGACTGACACTTCTCTGATATTATAAATTGTAGTAAAATTTAATGTGTAAGGAGGGAGAGGTTTAGATTCTTATCTAAATATTATATCAGTATTATCGAGAACCCTTAGAAAATAATCTTAAAAATTGTACCTGTATATTTATGTTTACCTTGTATTGTGTATGTAAAAGTTAATGTTGACTTTGAGTATAAATTATTATGAAATAAATAATAAAAAGTATATGAATGTTTTTATTTGTTTCAATTATTTAGTTCTCTGTCGAAGAGACTCAGTTTCAAATATAATTAATGTTTAAGTTTGTTCAACGCCCTGTATAAATTACTTAAAAGGCCGCATCCCTTATCTCACTGTTGGTTAAACAAGACGGCACAAACACTGAATAATAACTCGCCGACGGCTGTAACAAATAGTTTCCATAAGAACATTATTTTTACTTTGAAACCTTAATTACGAAGGCCGCCAATCTAATTACAATTTTAAATCCTCCTACCACAAAACATAATTTCGAAAGCTCAGAAGTTTTCTTTGAGAAATAATAAGGTATTGTTGCTGTTGGGTTAAGGAAATTGTTGAAATTCAAACGAGTTTCAATTCCTCTTCGTGTCATACTCAAAACGGTGTCGGTCATCGGTGACCGACGTTAGCGGAGGATTTACCTTCAAAAGTTTTTTATTGCCAGTCAAAGGCTTAAAGTTCGCGTTGGAACGCAATCTAAAGTATGACAAATAACTGGCGGTGGCACCACATTCGATTAAAAACTGACACACAGTTTCGAAGTAAATCAACACAACAATAGACTCGGTTGCAGGTGGAATTGGGGACAGATATGTAGGGCGAATATGTAGGGCGAATAGTGTCTCCCGGTTCCTAAAGTCAAAACTCAAAGTCAAAATCATTTATTGTTTAGGGAACGTGGTTAGGAGGATCCCTAATTTAGCACTGCCTCTTCTGGTCGTGGGGTGCAGGGGGTTGAGAGAAACAACGGTGTTCGGATACCGGATATATTCACGTAAACCCCCAGATAGAACCGTTCACTCGGACCAGTGCGCAGTAACTATCCGTGCCTCGCATACTTCACGCTCACACAAGTTTTTGCTTGCCTTGCACTCTGCCATACATACTTACATGTGTCCCTACAATTTCAATTAGGCCAGAAAGGTACTTTTGAACGTCAACATAAAAATGTAAAGTGAAGCTATTTTCTCATTCCAAGGTGTAGATTCCTATGGAGAAGAACGAGCAAGAAACTCCTTAGGTTACTCTTTTTCAATCAGGTTCACAATACAATTTACTAGTTACATAGTTTTGTTGTTTGGATTGTGCGAGAACAATGTAACACTAAAATACAGTCAAAGAGATCGAAAAAAATAACCTTAAAGGAGAGTAAAAAATACAGTCCGGAGCTGGCCAGTCCCAGTTGCGCCCGTTCACGAACATGACACGTACACCAGCACCGCCCAACTCAACCATATTGTAGGGAATCGAGCGATCCACTGCACGTGCCACCGCCAATGAGACCTTTGAGTGAGCATGACAACTTCAAGCTGACACAAACGAATTCTACAAGTCTAATTTAATATTTAGTTAATTACAGGGCTCTCACATTTACAATGATTATGTAAGTTAAACAATATACCTACAAATGAGCAATATAAAAGCTATATTAATTACATGTTTGGATTTCATTGAAACATCGATGTTTTTCGTTATCCTGTGGAGCCGGACTAGCTTGCATCCAAGCATTTTTATCCTCTATATAATCATTAATTTTGTAATATGCTTGTCTACATAAAGATTTTTTTTGGGTGTTGTATGTCGCCTGGTATCTTGTTATAACATTTAACACAGAATCCCTTGAACGACTTACCTACTTTCGCCAATATCAAAGTTGGTTGACTTAATCTATCCTTATGTCTAGTTTGATAGTGGTGTCTGTCCGACATTTTACCAAATAACTGTAGGTTTTTCCTAACATATATAATGTTTTCATAGATAAATTGACATGCAACGGTCATAATGTTGATCTCCTTAAACTTTTGTCTCAGAGATTTGCGACGACCTAGATTGTAGATAGCTTTGACGGCGCGCTTTTGTAAGATAACGATAGACTCAATGTCAGCAGCGTGTCCCCACAGCAAAATGCCATACGACATAATGCTATGAAAGTAACTGAAGTACACTAGTCTTGCCGTGTCTATGTCAAACAACTGTCGGATCTTCCTGACAGCATAAGCTGCAAAGCTCAAACATTCCGCTAAAGATGTGATGTGAGGACCCCACTGGAATTTGTCGTCTACAGTAATTCCCAGGAAAGTTGTCTCTTTTAGAAACTCTAATCTCTCACCATTCAATGATATGTCACATTCGTTGCTTTTAACATTTGGCAAAACAAATCTAGTACGTTTTGTCTTTTTATCGTTTAGTACTAAGTTATTTAATGTAAACCAATCTTGAACCTTCATTATGGCATTATTTACATCGTCATAATTATTTGTTCGTCTATCTATTTTAAAAACCAATGAAGTGTCATCAGCAAATAATACCATCTGCGGTTCATTTTTAAATAATTGCTTACTTTTGACTGGGAGGTGTTCTATCTACGGCTGTGAACAAACGTGTAGTGACTGATTATTCTTCTATTATGTTTTGCCATAGTACCAATAAGGTTCCCCATTCATTCCATGTTCTTTAAAGACAACTAAATCATTGACTAAAACATCGAACCTTACCTTAATTTAGTGTTTCGTAGAATTTTTAAATTGAATAGAAAGCCACGAAGTACAATGGTCGTTTGACCAAAGCAGAGTTATTTGTATTTGATCTAAAACAAGTTACTTGATTTGGCATCAACCTAAGTTCAACTTACACACCACCACACACATTAATATAATACTAGGTGTTATAAAAACTAAGCGATAAATCTCTTTAAATAAAATTAATATGAAAAAAGGTTTTTCCTACAAAAAACATGTCCAATACAATAATTTAACACTTGAACACAATGGTGAGGGACTATGTAATCATTACACAAACAATACAGTTATAATATTAAACCCTTGGAAAACATATTTCTATTATAATATCGATGTTGCATGTAATTGAGTGGTACTGGATTTAGTATAAATTTTGGTGTTTAGTTGGACTATTGGTACAGTTTACAGAAATGATGGGTGGTACTGACATATTGCGGGTTGCGGTCATCGCTACCTTGATTGCTTGGTGCACTGCTTATCCTCACAGGGTATACTTTTACATTTATCATTATCTTCTACCTAAAAAATCCATGCACCAGCGATGCTGTCGCGCTGTATCACTGAGCGACAGAATCGCTGTCATACTGCATAAAGCTTTACTAAAGTATTTTTTTACAAACAGGGACTTTACGGCAACAACAATTACAACAACAACGATGCAAATCTCGACTATGCGTACAGTAAGTTATTTATGAATTACCTACATTCCACAAATATACTTTTCTACCATATCATACATACCAATGCATATGTCGCTAAACGCAGCTGTTCTCTATGTTCTCTCAATGTTGTCGATACTCCAATAACATTTGGCCAAAGTGTGGCCAGGAGTACCTGGAGATTTAACTAAAATCACGGGTTACTCGCGTGAATATACTGAGAAAAGCTCTACTAGTTTCGAACCAAAGAGGGGTTCTTCCTCGTGAGCAGCGTGCGCGGTCGCGGCGACGTCGCGCAGATCACTCTCACCTGGAAATTTGCTTCATCATCATATCAGCCACAAGAAGTCCACTGCTAAACAGATAGGACCAGTGAAATTTGCTTATTATAGATATTTATTTATAAGTGTGGGAGAGCCCTGCTTCGGCACGAATGGGCCGGTTCGACCGGTTCGACCCACGCCCCAACGCAACCCCTGAATCCCCAACATTTCTCAAATTTCCAATCCCCAAAATGCCGGTAATGCACTTGTAACGCCTCTGGTGTTCCAAGGGTTCATAGCCGACGCCGATTGCTTATCATCAGGTGATCTGCAATCGGCGTCTGATCTGTTCCTTTACCGGTTTATCCAATAAAAAAATCGTATAAATTTGACATTACTGCACATAGAAATGTGCAACAAAATTCTATCTCTATACAAATCTGTAAATAAAAGGTTATTCAAACTCTGGCCGTAAGTCGTTTCATTCTAGTCGAATAAAAGTCTATTAACGTGAACACAATTATTGAAGCTCATGTTTTTACACGTGCAGGAAACTCGCTGTCTAATGGCCTGAACAACAACAACCTGCGTTCAAATCTGAATAATCTGAACAATCTCTCCAGACGACAAGCAGCAGCAGCGCTTGGGTAAGTTGATTCTCTATGTATATACACACCTTCAGTTAAACGCTACACACAACGCTAACAGTTGAACTGTTTGTGTGTAGCGTGTGTAAAATGTGGTCTATAAATAAATTGTGCATGTCTGACAATGATTATTCAAAAATAATGTATTTTTTTAACCACAGCTCAGCTCCAATCCGGCCTCCGACAGCAGATGAACTTAAATATCTTCCGATAGTCCATAGCCGACAGTATGTAAAAAGCCATATATACATTCCTAGTTTTTATAATAAAGTGTTTCAAACGAGCAGAGGGTTTACCTGATGATAAGCAATTGGTGACGCCCAAGGAGTTACAAATGCTTCTCCTCACTTATACGACAAAGCGTTACCTTAGTAAAATCGTAGTTGAAAACGTTCATTTCATTAATAACATTTTCTAAGTAAAATAATGAAGAATAGTCTATTTTAATTTAGTTTTATTGTTAGTTTTGGTTAGAGTGTAGACAAAGGGGCGCTATGGCACGAGAAATTTCTCATCAAAAATAAAAATTCTTATAAGTGGCTGGTTTCTCATTTCTATCGTTTAGTATACCTAAAGATAAGGTGAATATTATCTGGGCACTTTTTATTTAGGGCTTCAGGGTCGCCTGCAAATGAGCCAAATAAAAGTAAAAACACTTTTTGGGCACCCCGACACATTTGGTTAGGTTAGGTTAGAACTGTGACCCTCACAAGGCGCGAGGCGAGGGAGCGTAGTGAGCGGTGCCGCGGCAGCGCTTTTTTTTTCATTTTTCGCCAACTGACCTTTATAGCTCATTTTCAGGCGCGAACCTGAAGTCCTAGACAAAAGGTGTCCAGATGATTTTCGCTTTATTATTAAGTATACTAATCGATGAAAATGAAAAACTAACCATTTATAAGAATTTTAATTTTTGATGAAATTTTTTCTTAGTCGTAAACTCCTTGCCCCTAAGACGACCCACTGACCATAATATCCACTTCCATACCCACAAAGTCGCGGACACAGCTAATTTTATACTTCAATTACTACTTCACATTTGACCCCTATACAGATTTATTATAAGTAATAGAAGAAGATTGCCAGGAACTTACGTTTTGTGGCGCGCTGAAAATCAATCATTCAAAATTCTGTGTTTATTTTCAAAATTCTGTCTGTCTGTCTCTTCTCCACGTCTAAATTATTGAACAGATGTAACAGTGATTGTAACACAAGCTAGACGTTTTGTTATATATAGTCTTTTTATATGAATGTAAGAGTTCTATAGCATTGCATAATTCTCTGGTAGTAAAAACTAAAGTATTCCTTGTGTTACAGGTTTGACGAGATTGACGCGTCACACATCCCCATCGGAGGGAGGAGGTCTTGAGACGACTACCCCCTCGTTCCCCGCAATTTACTGTAAACAAAAGAATCCAGCTACCGTCCTATTTACAAACCGTTAGTCCACAATTCCATATAACTGTCTTCGCTCAGAACTCTGTGATTGGCTAATAAAACATTTCATTTGTTACAGTAATAGTTTTTTTCTTTATCTTTCTACGATATTAAAGTTCTTACTTTTTCTAAAAAAAGTTTTAATGTTTCCAAAAGATTTGGTCTAAAATTTTTGTAACATCACGATTCTTTGACTTCGTCCGGCCCGCTACACTCCGCGTGTATTAATATCTAATAGTATCTAGTACTTTCTCATTGTTAAAGTATCTAGTTTAGATAATTATTAGACTTATAATATGTATCACACACTAAGAGACAGAAGTGCACTTCCAGTGTCAAAACACCTAGCAATATTAGTGGCGCTTATGACCTTCTATATTTTAATCTTAGCGTCATTATTAGTCGCGGATAACCTAACGGGTAACCGGGGCTCCGGCTCGACGTACAGGAGAAGGTACGGGGTGGTTTTTAGTCAGTAAGAGTCTGACACTAAGGCGGGAGCAGTCATTCGATGATTTTCCCTCCTTAAAAAAAAATGGTAAAGTAAAACTAAAACTCAGGCTAACAAAACTTTGACAAGACCACGCAGCAGCATTTTCTAATAAACATAGAACTTCAATTCGGTCTGCCACACCTACAACAAACCCACTTTATTAAGTGCACCATCTAGCTAATAATAGTACATTCAAATCGACAACGATTTTTCTCACTATTCATATCAACAGTCAGACCGCTGACGTCGTCCATTAAGATTATTGTGACAACAATTTCAACCTTCCGATTAAAGCCTTTAAGGTATTAAATTGTATTCGTGTAGAGGTAATGTGCGTCAAATTCTGTAAGGACAACATTGGTATGGGTTGATATTAGAAATAAGTTAGACTTACATATATTCTATCATGATATCATAAACCAAAAACATGTCCATTTCGAATTTTCACTCCTAAACAACTTAATCGATTTCGATAAAGGATAATGTCAGGAAGCAGCGCACCAGGACAAAAATAAGAGTTACCTTATTTATCAAATAAACACAAGTAGAGATGCTGGACAAGCTAGTATTCTAAAAACCTACAGCCGTAATTAACGAATAAAAATCACAATTTCTTGTTGTAAAGCTAAAGTAGCATATAATTGGGTTTTAATTAGTCGATTCTACATACCCACCTACACACAAGCACAATGTAGAGGTAGTATTCTGTAATACTTCATTTTGTGAACTATTGGCATAGTTCACATAATGAAGGCCGTGTCACTCATATTGCACACCGCGGTCACCACTTTACTAGTTTGCTGCTCTGCTTCTCCCTATAAAGTAAAAGAAATATTTTTACAAAATGTGATGATAAAAAGAAGAGCACAGCAGATCATTTTAGAAGATGTACCCAGTAACCAAAATAGACCAAACAAGTTACCCAGGTTGGTTGAAATTATTCGGTCTATCGAATTATTCTCACGCCAGTAGGTGAATGTGGACCTACACCACAACGAGGTGGTGGTGGCGAATTCTTTTTGTATAGATTTTTGGCGATCATATAATCAAGATAAAATTAATTCTACGGTTACATGGTAATTCGTATAACGCGCTTGTTAAATTTTGTACATGGATACAAATTGTCACAAACATAAGCGTATTTTTTTTTTTTAAGGGGGGAAAATCATCGAATGACTGCTCCCGCCTGGGTGAGGCGGGAGGGAGTGTCAGACTCTTACTGACTAAAAACCACCCCGTTCTTTCTCCTGCACGTTGAGTCGGAGCCCCGGTTACCTGTTAGGTTCTCCGCGACAAACATAAGCGTATAACACCTAATCCAATACACTTCTTGCGTGACAATAATACCCAATACACTTTTTGCGCCTGTCAAACAGTTGCATGGCCTCGTCAGGCCCGCCGTAAGCGCGCGTGCAAAGCGTGCACAGCACACGGGCGCACGATCATGGGGGCGGCAAATCGAGCGACTCATTACCTATACTATTCAAAATCATTGTCCAGAGTAAGCAGAAAGGATAAGCAATATCATCGCCGGGAAAAAATCCCACTCGACGCAAGCAATATTAGCGTTGTGTATTACGTTTGAGGCCCTATACCAGTTAGTAGCGCCTTAAATTCGAAGTCCATCGAGCGTTCTTGAAAGCTATTGAGCGTCTACGATCACATTCGAGAGTCACTCGAAAACTATCGAACGTCCTCGATAGTTTTAGAGCGTCCTCGAAAACTATAGAGTGTCCTCGATCACTTTCGAGCGGCCTCGATCACTTTCGAGCATCCTCGATCGCTTTCGAACGTCCTCGATCGATTTTTCGTGCGTCCTCGAATATTTTCGAGCGTCATCGAAAACTATCGAGCGTCCTCTAAAACCATCGAGCGTCCTCGAGAACTATCGAGCGTCCTCGAAAACTATCGAGCATCCTCGATCACTTTCGAGCATCCTCGATCGATTTCGAGCATCCTCGATCGATTTCGAGCATCCTCGATCGATTTCGAGCGTCCTCGAAAAATATCGAGCGTCCTCGAAAACTATCGAGCATCCTCGATCACTTTCGAGCATCCTCGATCGATTTCGAGCGTCCTCGAAAACTATCGAGCGTCATCGAAAACTATCGAGCGTCCTCGAAAACTATCGGGCATCCTCGATCGCTTTCGAGCATGCTCGATCCCTTTCGAGCATCTTCGATCGATTTCGAGCGTCCTCGAAAACTATCGAGCGTCCTCGAAAACTATCGAGCGTCCTCGAAAACTATCGAGCATCCTCGATCACTTTCGAGCATCCTCGAAATCTGTCGAGCATCCTCGATCACTTTCGAGCATCATCGATCGATTTCGAGCGTCCTCGAAAACTATCGAGCGTCATCGAAAACTATCGAGCGTCATCGAAAACTATCGGGCATCCTCGATCGCTTTCGAGCATGCTCGATCCCTTTCGAGCATCTTCGATCGATTTCGAGCGTCCTCGAAAACTATCGAGCGTCCTCGAAAACTATCGAGCGTCCTCGAAAACTATCGAGCATCCTCGATCACTTTCGAGCATTCTCGATCGATTTCGAGCGTCCTCGAAAACTATCGAGCGTCCTTGAAATCTGACGAGCGTCCTCGAAAACTATCGAGGGTCCTCGAAAACTATCGAGCGTCCTCGAAATCTGTCGAGCGTCCTCGAAATCTGTTGAGCGTCCTCGTAAACTATCGGGCATCCTCGATCGCTTTCGAGCGTCCTCAAAACCTATCGAGTGCCCTCGATCACTTTCGAGCGTCCTCGAGAACTATCCAGCATCCTCGATCACTTTCGAGCATGCTCGATCGCTTTCGAGCGTCCTCGATCGATTTCGAGCGTCCTCGAAAACTATCGAGAGCGAGGACGCTCAATAGTTTTCGAAGACGCTCGACATATTTCGGGCGTCCTCGATCACGGTCGATCGTCCTCGATCACGGTCGAGCGTCCTCGATCACTTTCGAGCGTCCTAGATCACTTTCTGGACCTAATCGGTGTAGTATCGCATGGCCTTCTCCGCCACCGTAAGCGCGCGTCTGCTGACGACAAGCAACGATAACCTGATACGTAGCAAACCCGAGCGTACGGCGCGTCGTGTAAAATGCAGGCGTCAAACAGTCATTACTTCATTAGACACCACAGACGGACCCACCAGGATTGTTGCCTTGCTGGAGAGTAGGCTGTCATATGGGTACTGGTGCCCTGGCTTTGAGCAAGTGTTGGAGGGAAGGGGGCGGCATAATCGGTATTTGCACGCGGGCGCTCGAATGCCAGCGGCGGGCGTGGGCCTCGTCGGTCAAGTATCTCGGTATCCTCTTACACTCCTGTCTCAACTGGCAAACACATACTGAATCCTTGGCTTCTCGTGCTCGAAAGCTACTTTATGTGTTTAAAAAGCTAAGAACCTCGGCCCATGAAAAGATACTAAAAATGGTATAGTTATACGAGTCTATTTGAGAATCCATTTGCAATCTAAGGGAACATAGATAGAACGTAATCTACAGAGTACCATTACTCTGTTCTGTTCTGTAGATTTACCACCGTCCTCAAAGTCATTTATTTGTTACTTACTCCAGGCAATTGTTTTCGGAACAAAATCGGATTACGGCAATTAGTTATATAATATACTACCACATATTAATTATGTAACATATGCCGGAATACTGAAACGTTACTGAATTTTAAGTCGTGCTCAAATATCGTGCCATCTCTGTCATTTTACAAAGAATTTGTAGAGATAGAACTATACTTAAGCACGACTTAAAATTGAGTAGCGTTTCAGTATTCCGACAATAGCCTTTTAAACCAGGTGACGTTTGACGACGACAGCCACGGAACGTCAAACGCATCGAATAGCGGTGTAAAATATTTGTGAAGCAGAATAATATTAATTTGAACTTCATTAAACTGTCAAACACCAAGCGGTCACCGGTGACCGCAACCTATTGTTCTATAATTGTGTCTACCAAACCGGTACTCTACGAGTTAAGACTTTTAATGAAACTAAATACTTAATACAATCGAGTGTATATGTGCTAAGTGTCAAAATGGTCCTTTAATTCCATAATAATACAAATCTTATATTGGTAATAACTACAAAATTACAGGTTGCCGCCGTTGAACTCCCATAATTTCGACGAAATCGATGCCTCGAATCTGCCCGCCTTTGTTAGACGCTGCAAGATTCGACAGTAAGGAACTTTTTTAATTATATACTTACATTATAAGTTGTGCCCATAGTTTATTATCAGAAGCTAAGTTATACACATTAAGTTCTAGTTTCGGGTCTGGTTATATATTGGAACACATATTTATAAACGCATCCACGATAACGATACAAAAGAAAACCGCATCTTTTTATAAAAAAAATAATCAGATTTTTATTTGTATTGTATCTATATTTCAAATTGTAAGTGTACATATGTGGGCACCGTGTTTGAAACAATCATTCATTGCTTTTTATTTTATTTCAGGAGTTGATTTCGGAGTCCCATTAAATGTTGACGTTGTAACTAATTCGTTACATCGTTCTCACATATACATAAATATACGTACATTAGGTAAAGGATCAGTGCCGGATTAAGCCAGCGCGGGGCCTGTAGCAAATTCTGTCTAGGGGCCCTTGGTTTGCTATCGGTTCTCATTTGGGCATTGACTAAATTTGGTGCCTTTCTTTTTTCTGGCGTCAGTCGATGATTTATGGAAGATATTGTCTGGAGTGATATCACAAACGAAATTGTCCCCATATACATATATGAAAGTGAGCCCATAGGGCTCATGTATGGAAATCTCAGTCTGGACTGAGTTATGAGCGTTGAAAGGAGCTGAAGTCAAACATTTTACTTTGGTTTTTTTTATTCAAATCTTATATCTTATACCATTATCTTATATACTATTATATAAAGCGGAAGAGTTTGTTTGTTTGTTTGTTTGTTTGAATAACTAATCTAATCTCCGTAACTACAAGTCTGATTTGAATAATT